TATGTATATATATCTCCCACACTCCTAGCCCTTTTTATTTTGTATTTTGAGACAGGGTCTTGCTAAGTTGCTTAGGGCCTCACTAAATTTCTGAGGCTGGCTGAGGCTGGCTGAGGCTGGCTTTAAACTTGTGGTCCTCCTGCCTCAGCCTCCCAAGCCACTGGGAAGTATCTGACATTTAATATCCTCAATGAATGTTAGTTGAATGAATGAAGTTGAGGCTTCTGCTGTGATATCAGCAACTGGTGCTCTAAGATTATGTCCAGTGACAGCCGATCACTACAAAGAAAGTATCATCTACATGCCCATTCCCAAGGCTCGTTTGATGATTTGACTTTTACAAAACCCCTTGATGATAGAAGGAAGTATAATCTCTGACCAGGACCCCTGAGAAGGATAAATTTTTACTGTAAAATACTTATACTACAGAGAACCCTTATTCTACTCCAAACCTTGCAGCAGCTGACTTCATTTCCCTTCACATGCAACAGAGAATATATTCACTACTCTCAGATTGGTTAGGGGGCATAGTCAGCAGGATATGAATCAGATGTAATTTTTTTTTAAAAAAAAAAAAAGCATGGAAACAAGACTGGAAGAAAATATGGTAAAACACCTTGTAATGCCAGTGATGCAGGAGGCTGAGGCAGGAGGATCAAAAGGTTTAGGCCAGTGTGGGCAACTTAGAGAGATCCTATCTCAAAATAAAAGTTAAAAAAAAAAAGGCTGGGGAGTGTAGTTCAGTGGTAGAGGGCCCTCAGATTATATCTTTAGTACCACAAAAAGAAAAAGAAGGAGAAGAGGAAGAAGAAGAAAAGAAACTGTAGTAAAACATTAACAACAGTTGCTTCTCAGTGTTGGATTTGTGGTTAATTGTATTTCCCCAAATCGTCTACAGTGGACTCACATTTCTTAAAATATTTCCTAGTTGTTAATGAACTTTTGTTTTACTTATATGTAGTGCTAAGAATTAAACCCAGTGCCTCACACATGCTAGGCAAGTGCTCTTCCACTGAGATATAACCACAGCCCCCAGGAGTCACATTTTTATAATAAGAAGGTTTGACAGAAACATTTTAATTTTTTTTTTTTTTTGGGTAC